TTTTTTTTTTTTTTTTTTTTTTTTTTTTTTTTTTTTCTACTTGCTGAATTTAATGAACTTCTGGTTTGGCTGAATTCGATGTATGTTGTAAACCTCTGCCTTTTCCTCATCTAGGGTTTTTGGTTGATTTGATTTTACTTCTCTGTGTGGAATAATAATAGTTATTCTGAATTTCAGGTGCTAGCAGTGAGGGATTGTCCTGTTACCACGTCTGATCATATCATGAAGTCATACCAAGAAGGGAAGGGAACGTCAATGCGGCCCTACCATTCAGTTTGGTTGGCTCATTGGTCACGTCCAGGCTGCAAATCAGCAAATGGAGTCTGCAATAATTTATCGACCAGCGGAGAGTCTGGTGAAGAGAGTTCTCAAACTAAGAAGCGCCCATTGCTTGAAGGTCCAATGGCAACTACTATCACTGCAAATCATGACATTGGGTCTGGAGAAGTAGCAGGAGTACGTGCAGATAATACCAACAATATGACTGGGAGATCTAAGAAGTGCAAGAAAGAAAGGTTAGATTCTGAGCCCTTTCCTATGATCAATGATTCTCAGCATAGAGGGGGTAAATTGGCTCTGAAGATTGAACAGGCTACGGCTAGTCGAGGTGGAGCTTTGAAATTTCATACTGGTTCTGAATCTGAGCACAAAACTTCGTCTCTGGATGGAAAGGGGAGTCAATGGCCATCGCTGCTTGCAGTAGTTCCTGAAAGAGGTAAGCCCAAGAAGGAACAGATAAAGTCCAAAGACACACACCAACATGAGGATCCCAGTAAGTTCCTTAACAACAATGCCCCAACTGTTTCACCATTTGTTGGAGATGAGACTTTGGCATCAGCTTCCAACTTTGTACCTTATGAAATGAGTAATCTGTTCCCATTCTCCACATGTGAACAAAGTATCAACAACGAACCAAAATCCTGTTTGGCATCCAAAAAGCAGGTTGAGAATACTAATTTCCATACTTATTCTACTCTTTTTGTTCAAGAGACAAAAATCAACCAACTTTTGGATACAACGCAAGCTACAAATGCACTGTCAAGGCAGCACATGAGAACGGTTTTACTGCATAATCCCTCTTCAAGCAATCTTGACCAGCCAAATCCATACCCCATACAATGTGACATTAGGAAAAGTAGTTCAAATGCCTTACCCTTTCAAAGTCAGGACAACCATTCAGACACTGCCTTACCAGAATACTTATACCAAGGAGGTTACTCAATGCAGAGGCTTCCATTTTCTGTCCACGACGTGGAAACTATGAGAATATGTACCACTGTAGACTCTGTTGGACAGGCGCTCAGGGGTCCTCCAAAATTTTGTCAGACAACTCACCGTTTAATGATCACTAAAAAGACTGATGTTGACTTGTATGAAGGTCAGGCGTTTAGAGGGAAAGTGGCATCTACCAATCTCAAAGCAGAAACTGCATGTGCACTTCTTGGTTCATCCACCAATCTAGGCAGAGACGATCAGAAGGAAAATGAAGATCTTGGAAATACGAGGAGTGCGACTTCTTTGAGCAACGAGTCATCATCTGAGACTGATATTATGGACATGGATGCATACCAAGACAACCATTCGAGGGGTATGCCTTTGTAGTTTCTATCCTTTGATTCTTCCATTTTTGCTTGACGCTTGAAATAACAAAGAAAAGGCAAAAGTATCGATTCACTGGATCACTAGTGAATCATCTACGGTACCCATTAGTTTGCTTAGTTCCAATCACGAATTTCTTATCATTTGTTTCTTCATTTGTGTTCCCTTCTAACTTATGGGTTTGTCCTTCTCTTGCAGACGTGGATACATCAGAAGCAGATAAGGTAAGATCGAGCCTATATGAGGTTTCACTCTATTAAGCTCATTCCCTTGCATGTCAAATCAAATTTATGCTGTTAGTCACGAACCATTATAACCCTATTGCCTTACGCAATACGGCTACCTGTTACCTATGTTTTCCGTTCGGTTTATTCCATCTTGTTTTGAGATCGTATGTTCTTTATTTCCTCCCCGTTTTCCCTCCCTTTCTTCCCATGATAAAATTTTAAGTCTATTACCTGATTTTCATGATTCCCAAACGTCCAAATGGATTGGTCGAATAGAAACTTTTATTTGCTTGGATGTTCATCAAAATTCAAATGCAGAATGGATGGTTAGTTCATTAAGCCTTGTACATTTTAATTACCGTTGGAATTGATGGTGTTGGAGGATTAGGTCCAAGAATTTTCAACTGTTACGAAGTTTTTTACTGAACTAAAATGGCTCTGGGATTTGCAGGAGTTGAGGAGTTCAAAATCGCCACTGCTCTCTGTGAGTGCAACTGGTTCGGTTAGAAAGCAAATTGGAGGTACGCTGCCGAAGAAAAGATTACTTAATATAAACGAAAGGCCACCCAATCGTTCAACTTCTACAAGCCTGATGGAAAACGGGGAGTCAAGTACCTCTAGAACACAAACTTTAGATGCAGAACACCTCCTTTCAAATGCTGAGCAGCAAAGGTTTTCGAACTCCACTGTCCCTCCGGAAGACTCTTCTAAACGGGAGATAGACAGTGGGTGGGTTAAACGTCTTAGGCCATGCGCTTCAGAGTCTGTTCATGACACAAAGAGCACGAAAAAGGAGGAAGACTCTTCCTGTGATAAAGCCAATCAGCTCTTCAATAAAATGAAACGCAGCTCAACCAGCTCTGATCGCTCTAGGGGTCCACTCCATGGACAAGAGCAATTGGCAGTTGGCCAAACGGCAACTATAGTAAAAGCTAGCGACTTGTGCAGCAACTTGAGATTAAAAAATCGAGAAATGATACTCTCCAGTCCCTGGATTCGAAGATTATGTCATAATAGACCAACATCTTCTGAAAGAAATCTTGAAACTGCTGTGGTTCACAAATCACAATGTTCTAGGCCAATTTTAAATAAGCCAATGCCCAGTATAGCTGCTATGGCATTGATGGGCAAGACGGTGACTGGGCTTCAGCCATGTGAGTTCAGCAGAAGAGGATCTTCACTGGTCTGGAATACCGAGGGTATTTGACAACCCCGAGTCAGCTTAAGTTTCGACACTACTGATATCTCGAAATGGAGTTATTTCTATTGAACTGCCTGGCCATCATCAACTCGGACCCAAGTAGTTTGAACTGCTAGAGAGATAAGCTCGTTACAGTTGCCACCACTGCCTGAATGGAAGAAGAGAAGGGTTGCTGTTGGTTCCTTCATATGGTTTTGTGCTAGATTATTCACGATGTACCTCCCGGGGCTGAAGGCAAACGTGAGGCATCCACCCATTTACAGTAAAGAAACGAGCAACGAGCCTGTATACAATTCTATAATTTTGAATGATTTGTATTCTGCGTGGTTCTTTCTCAATATATGCTACCACTTTTTGCATATGATTTTAGCGTTTCTCACTTTTTCCAGGAAGAAAACTAACACAACCATTAGATGGTTGAAGTGGCTAGAGGAACAACATTCAGTAATCCGAAGCTGTCAATATCAATATAGGATGGAAATTTGTGGAGTCTTACCCAATCAGGTAATGGCAACCATGCAGATGAACAACCCCACCTCTTCTCTGGTACATTATTTTCCTCAGATGGTTAAACTCAGCTCATTATCTAAGATCTTTTGTTACAAATTAAGGTCCCATTTCTAACCTGACAGCCAGTATGTTCCAGAGCAGATTCAAAAAAACCACCTCCTTGAATGGTTGAATCCATACAGGGCGGAGCAAACTGAGTTATAACGTCTCCCACGGTGAGTATCCCTGTTGCTTGGTGGGAACTATTGACAAGAAAGCTGAAACAGCTATTTGTTTCTGCCATAGTTTTCATCACTTGCTTCAGAGTGTCATCTCTCTTGATGGTGACTGGAGTGTGCATATTTGGAACTCTGCACTTAACTAGAGGACGAGCACTCGACAAGGTAAGTGCCCTCTGGCCCCCTTTGACTGTCGGGTTAGAGTCTGCTTGTTCTTTACTCGATTCCATATGCATGAACTCCTTCACTGTTAGCCTCCTGCAATTCATCACTTACTATCCATTGGCAATCGCATCTCTAAGCTTAAATCCTTACCATATGCTATTGTTTAAATTACAAGTTCTTGAATGTGAGGAATTATTCAGATCATCAAAACAAATAAGGGCTTCAAAGGAACTTACTTTCTATTCTGAAATAGATCTTCCTTCTCCAATAGAAGATATGTGTCGCTGTTCCTCAAACAACCAATGAGGCTCTTACTTTCTCTATCTGTTACAGCAACTGCACCCATTTGTTTCTCCCATAGCAATTGAAAGGCTTCCATAATGTTTTGATCGCCATAGACATGAAGAACATGCTCTTCATTATGAAACCTGAACTGACAATGATCAAGAAAGGAAAAGGAAGCAATTATGTTATTCAATTCCATATAGATCAATCTGTTAGTCATGTGATGGTGTGATGTTCCTTACCGAAACTTCGATATTACTTTGTCTACTATGCTGTCAAACCACTCCAAGCCACTTGATTCCAGAAGCATATGAATTACTGCATTCTGTCACAGAACGCAAACGATTTCAAACACTTGATAAACCTGAAAGGCTCGATTAGAAGAAAACCATAAACTTTGTATTTTGTTTAATAAAATACTCATATTCCTTCCAAAGTTGGAATATTACCTTGACCTCCCTTCTATAAAGGTTTCAAAATTGTGCTTGGAGTAAGAATCCTTCAGAATGTTGAATGGAGAAGTCAACAGGTGAAACTCGGTTCTTTTAGATTTAATCCAAGCAAGTATGTTTGATCTTTCCATCAACCTAAACCCACCACTAGCAATATTGTCTTCTTTGGACTTTCCTTACCCACCACTAGCAGATATCGTCTTCTTTAGACTTTCCCTTTCCCTTTTAGGCTTACTCTCAAAGTTTCTACACTTTTATGAGGAATGCTTTGTTTCCCTTTACAACCAATGTGGAATCTGATCTCACAGTCCACCCCCTTTCCCCTTTGAGGCCCAGTGTCCTCGCAGGCACTCATTCCTCTCATTAATCGACGTGGAATCTCACACTAACATTCTAACAAGTTTTACTCGTAGTTTTGAAATATTTATGAAAACGAAGGGTAAAGTTGCCGATTATTTTTTATAATTTGGACCAACCTGAAATGACTTAACCCTATGAACTTCACTTCAAATAGAGAAGTCTAGCTACATAATTAGCTGAAACCCCCACCCCACCCCACCCCACCCCTAAACCATATAACCTGATTGATATCTCAAAGTCTGATTGCTAAGCTACAAAACCAATATCAAAGGTTTATGAAGCAGTAGAAAGTACCTGTGTAATGAAACCAACGACGTGAGAATTGCAGAGCCGAACTACAGGAACAGCCTGCAACCGATGCTTTGAAAGCAATAGCAGAACATGGAAAAGTGTATCCCTCATCCCTACTGGGAAATAAGGATCCCACAAAAATGTTTTCCCTAACTCACCCACCTGAAATTTCCCCAAAAACCCACCAAAACTTATCAGTAAGAAACCATGGAATGCAACAATCAAACAAGAAACAAACACCTTGGTTTGGCCAATATGTGGATTCTGTTCAAGAAAACTCAGAATCCCACGAACATTCTCTTGAGTTTCCTCTGATTCAATGCATTTGATTTCATCCTCCAACTTCCCAATCTCCTAAACCAGTTCATCATTCAGCCATTCAAGATCAAAACCCTTCAAAACAATACCCATTGAAATTTGAAACTACCTGAATACACCATAGAAGCAAGCTTGAGAGATGAACAAAACCAATGAACCGCTCGGGAAATCCCTCGCTGGTGACATCGGCTATGAGAGCACAATCCACATTCTTCTTAAACATAACCCTTATTGCATCCTTAACACAGTCCCCAGTCTTCACTTCCAAGACTTGTGGAAAGAAACAGATTAGATCAGATCAGAGAAGGGAATTTCTGAATTGGCATTAAAACAAACAGGTTGCGTGCAGAAGGAAAATAGTGAAGGAGATGGGGTTACCGAGGGCGGATTTGATGCCGGAGATGGAACTGACGGGGATGCGATCGAAATATTGTTGTAAAGCGGTGGCGGAATCGATCTCCGGTGTGCTTTGGGGTTGGTTCGATTCAGGCTGAGCCATTTTCTGTGATCCAATTGCGTCGTCTTCTTCTTCTTCTTCTTCTGGTTTCTAGTTGTTGTTCTCCAGATCTCTAACTGCAGGGGTAGAGGAAGTGTGTGCATTGGCTATATTCTTCTCCACGTGTCGATCTTAAATGGATCTTGGACTGCCACGTGTTGATCTGAAATGGATCTTTGTCTGCCACGTGTTGATCTGAAATGGATCTTTGTCTGCCACGTGTCATAGTCATTTTCTGTGAAAACGACAGGTTGGTGTTTGAGTTGCTGACAACAAAGAATAGATTTCTCCAAAAAGGAAAAGAAAGAGAATAAAAAATGGGACACATTATGCAAGTTTGCAATATTAAACTTTCCCCCCTAAAAGATTAGCATTTCACTTTGCTAAGCCATATATATTTTTTTTTTTTTATAATTGTTCGAGAATGTTCGATTCTCAATTCAACATCGAGTAACTCTATTAGACATTCTTCTTGTTGGGCCCATTTTTGTATTTCAAGCTAATTTACATTACAACTATTCTCTTAGGATAGGTACACGATCATAATTATAAACGAGTGCATGATCCTAATATTTTTTTTGTTGGAAAGGCTATTTGTTGGCTTAGTCGTTGAAAATGTGGACATAGATAGTGCCGAGTGCATGATCCTAATATTTTTTTGTTGGAAAGGCTATTTGTTGGCTTAGTCGTTGAAAATGTGGACATAGATAGTGCGATGAGCTCAACACTCGTGTTTGATGTCTATTAATTTAGTCCTCGTCCCCCACAAACCGTCTTGTGAAAGAGCGAAATTAGTCTCATTAATGTTGTCTCTCTTGCTATATTCGAAACTCTTTCTTTCTCAAGTGGGTTTGAGATATCCGATCATTAAGCTTCCTCTCCTTCTGCATAGCCTTCCCTTCTTTCACTAACTCACTGTTCGCCTCACCCACTTTAGGCGAGACCAATCCATAGTCATGCCACAGGTCGTGTTTTCAACATGATATGATACAAAACATATAGCAAAGATAGGAATGGACATGCCATTAACCAAAAATTTTGATATTGATTTGAATATGAAAGTGTCACCAAATATCAATGAAATGATAAAAAGGCAACAATTATGAAGAATACATAAAGATATAGTTTGTATGTACATAATATAATCTATGAATCTGGGTGAGTAGTAGTAGCCACTCTTATTTAGAGAGAATTACACTAAAGACTTAAAATCTCTAGTTAACATCTCCCCTTATATGTTATACTAAAAAGCAACTTTCTTTGCTCCAAACCTATCTATAAATTCATCTTTGTCACTATAATCCTTCTTTTTCTCAGCCTAAATGCTGCAAATGCCATTCTTCAGCTCTCACGGAGCATGTTCTTCCCCTCTAAACATGTCAAGACTGAGACCTCGAGACCGCTTTATATGACCGTGCCGTCCTTGATCGTTGCCTTCTCCATTATAATGGTGATTCCCGACCGAACGTAGAATCCGTGTTCGGGTCGATCTGCTTCTTCCACGCCCTGAAATTGACAAAGATACAGATTAAGAATGCCTGGAGGTTTTGGGATTGAATGCAGTCAGTTTGTCGAACCGGGTTGGATGCGCTTACTTCTTTGTTCATGATGACGACGTCTTTCCCAATCTTCACGTTCTTATCGATTATGCAGTTCCTGCAGCAAACCCAAGCCCGCCATGAACACTGTTGAAACGTTGTTGTGCAGTATTTCAAGGTTCGAGTCGACGACTTACCTGATTTTCGTGTTTTGTCCGATCCCAATAGGGACTTTTCCTTCAGCTAGCAGAGCTGCAATTTCGAGTTCAGTTTGGTAATTGTCTGCACCCATCATTATAGTATCCTGTAAGAAAGAAGACAGCAACCTGAGTTACAAACTCTCGTGTTCGTCTAACCAGCCGCCGTGTCTTACAAACTCTAGTGTTCACCTGAAGTTCGACACCGTAGTCTAATCTTGACCGTTCACCGATTACTGAATGCTGGATACTACATTCTCTCAGAAAGCATCCATGTGAGATTATGGCATCAACAATCTGCAAGACGCAGTCGAAGCTTAAGAACAGAGTCCTTAAGACGAGCCGAGAATCAGATTGGTTTTATTGATATACCTGACATTTATCAATCTTGGTTGGCGGTAAAAATCGAGGCGATGTATAGAACGGCGTCTTGGGGTCGTAAAATTCGAACTTAGGAAACTGTAAAAAAGTGAAAAATCGATAATCAATGGCGACTAAAGTGAAAAATTCAGTAAATGAAAGCTACCTCTTCTGTGAGGGCCAAGTTTGCTTCATAGAAGGTCCTGATTGTTCCAATGTCCTCCCAATAGTCTCTAAATACAAATGCCTTGGAGAAAAAGGAAGCAATATCACATATGAATATATCAATGAAGTCGAAATAAAAAAAGCGCGGTCGGTTCAAAAGTTCTTTTAAGGTCTAGCAGTCGGACTCGATTCTTACTTGAACGTTGTGCTCCTTTACAGCTGCAGGAATGATTTCCGAGCCGAAGTCGTTAGATGTAGGATATCTCCACTTTAAAAGGTTTAGCAAAACGTCCGTTTTGAAAACGTAAACGCCCATTGATGCAATGTAAGGGGACTTCAACGCCTCCTCCCGAGACAAACCTAATGAAGTTGTATCTACTCGCTGTAGAAAACCGATCAGTTAGGGCGATTAAACGCACGAGCCTTATTCAGCCAAGAAAGATCATTTCCATGTATGGCTAGATTCATAGTTTATAACCATTCGATATGTTCTTCAATATTTTACCATTGCATTCAAATGGGCACCCTTTGGCTTCTCCGAAAACTGGATAATTCGACCTCTACTATCGAGTTTCACCAATCCATAGTCCGATGCGCGGCTGCAAAGTTGCGGAGTAAATGAAATAACGTATGAGAGTTGGGCTCTAAAATTCTAAGTAAAAAAGGAATCAAAAGGTAAAAGGTACGTTGATAAGACCTGTCGTCCACAGGCGCGCACGAGATTGAAATATCAGCGTTTCTATCCACGTGATTCTGTGTCCAATCGTAGCATATGATATGATTTTCGACATATAGAACGGAAGCTATTATCACTAATGAGCACGAGCGTTCAAAAATAATGTTGTTACCTGCACGAAGTCCATATAGTCCATTCTGTACATGTGATCCCCTGCCAAAATTAGAATGTTTTCGACATTTCTGTTCTTGGCATCCTACAAGAATTAACACGCGAATAGCTTTACGATATCGATAAAGAGAAGTTCAGACAGAACAAAAGAAGATAACTCTGTTATGTACCTCGAACACCCAAATAAATTGTCTCACAGCATCTGCCGTTCCTTGGAACCAGTACATCCCGGATTTCCCCGGTGTTTGAGTGGCTGCAAGAACCTGTATATCGAGAGTAAGCTCAGGATCATAACGATCGTCGACATGCTAGGAAAAGATTAGCTCCCTCTTTTTATCATTAAGTTCACAGTTTATCAGTATACCTCCACGAATCCTTCTCCAAAGTTGACACCGTTTCCGAAGTACGTTCGTGAAATATGACGATTCAACGAAGCAGAGTTGAACTGGGTAAGCACAAAAATTTTGTTGATCCCACTGTTGAGGCAGTTGCTCATTGGAATATCTATAAGCCTATAGCATCCTCCAACTGGAACCTACAAAAACGAGTAGACGATCAAATTGCATAACTCAACCAACCGATTAGTCTAATAAACGAGATAGTACTTGATGATGAATAGAACTCGTTCCCCTCTCCAACCATCTCCAACCAATATGGGATCTCACAATCCACCCCCCTTGGGGGCCAGCGTCTTCACTCGTTCCCCTCTCCAACCAATATGAGATCTCACAATCCACCTCTCTTGGGGGCTAGCGTCTTCACTAGCACTCGTTCCCCTCTCCAACCAGCCAGCGTCTTCACTCGTTCCCCTCTCCAACCAATATGAGATCTCACAATCCACCTCTCTTGGGGGCTAGCGTCTTCACTAGCACTCGTTCCCCTCTCCAACCAATGTGGGATCTCACAATCCACCCTGTTGGGGGCCAACGTCCTCACAAGCACTCGTTCCTCTCCAATCAACGTAGGATCTCACGATGATTTTGATAGAAAAAATAACTTCATTTGTTCTAAGAAACACACCAACATTAGTAAGAACTTACAGCAGGTGTGGCCAATCTTCTAGTAAGGGGAAACAGATGAGTCCCAGCACCTCCTCCCAATATGATCGAAGCAACATTCTTGGGGTTAACTTTGACTGTATGAAACGGTGGAGCTTGAATGCTCTTCAAAATCCAATCCAATCCAAACAGTTAAGAATCAATCAAAATCAAGATGGGTATTGATCAAACTTCAAGAGATAACAATTATTAAACTCACCGCAGCCTCCTTGGTAATATTTAGTGTAGCAACAACAGAAGCAGCACCATTAGAGGTGAGCTTCAAAGCTTTATTCTCAGATTTCAAACTCTTTGCTAAGCGATTAAACAAAGCATTATTATCCAAACTTCCTCTAACTTTCTCCCCATAAAATCCATTCTGATTCAGACACAGATGGGAATTGGGTTTGCAGGACAAAAAGCAGGAATCCATAGCTCACTACACAAAAAACAAAATCCAAATCCAAATCCAAATACAAATAATCAATCGCTCAGAAACGGCAGAAAATACAATCAAATTCAAATCCCAATAAAGCAAAACCCCAAATCAAAGCAAGCATTTAGCGTACAGATCACAGAAACAAAAGAAAAAAATGCAAGAAATCACCTGAGAAACTGAAAAGGGAAGCAATCGGAGGAGGAGAAGGCAGAGGGATTGAATGAAATGGGGCAAGAAGAAGGGAAAAGCGTGGGAGATTACGAAGAAAGCGGTGGATTAAGGGCATGTATGTGAGTGAGAAGAGGTCTGTGAATCAGGAGGATTTTATACTAAAAAAAGGAAATGAACTCGATGGATCAACGGCTTCTTCTTCTTCCTTCTTTGCATTTCCCACAACACCCAATTTTTAACCATCATCCGCGATTTCTACGCCGCATGCAAACAAGGAATACTTAAGAACATTTGGCGCTGCTCTTGTACCCT